TAGGAATTTCTCCTTTTCACCAGTCATTTTAGACAATTTGTCATATCAATAGCAATAATGATAAATCAATAACACCTATTCAACACTTAATTTTAGGGTATTGTGCTTAATATCTTACATGCTTTACTTTTTCCGATAATTATAATAATCAGGTAAGTTTTATTTTATAAATATCCCCTTTAACAGATAAGAAAGGCAGTAAGGGGTTATGTAACTAGTCCTATTAGAATGCTACAGGCTTGTTCCTTTGCCTGTGAATTAATTCATTTATACATTAATTAATTAATACATTCATTCATCCATTTATTAATCCCCATAAAAGTGCTACCATTTGTCTCTTGATAACTGTATAATGCTGTATAGACCCTCTATCTCTTGAGTCATTAATTTAGTGGATTCACCTAAAAGTTCACATTAAAATGAACTAGATAAACATTAGAGAAACAAACACTTATATGTGGGTAGGGTCTAGACATGTATGATTTAATAACTGTATTGTGATTCTGGTGAGTATTCCTGGCTGGGCATCACTGCTATACACCTTCAAGGGTGCATCTGTATTCAGAGTACACACTGGACATGATATTCCCTCATATTCTTGGAACTCCACTATGCTGAAGAACAGTAGTATCTCTACTGTGATAGGCATCAGAAATACTTGGTTGTGGCTCTCCCTGGTTGTGCAATGGCTTCAAGCACAGCACTGAGAAGCTGCATGCAGCCACATTAGCACTTCAATCCCAGGCCAGGGAGGTGACCCACATGGCACAGTTGACCTCTCCAGGCTTGCCCACTGCTTCCCTCAGCAGTATACTTCAGTCAATGTATCTTTCTGCTCCCCACTCTGTCTCTGGTGAATCCTCTTATCCCCCTTGCCCCTCTGTCTTGTACTTTAGTTCTATAACCATAAATAAATAAATCTTAAAAAAAGAGAAATACTTGGATGAGTTAGTTAAAAATGTATATAGCTGATCTGTTGTTTCCCACCCCAAACCATTTTGATGGGTATGTACCATTTTTATAACTAGATTAAAGTCCAAGGACCTGATTTTTAATTTAGCATACTGGACAATTGTATGGTCTGGAAAAGTAAAAATAGTATTTAATTTCGGTATCTGTTTTAGGGTTCCTCTTATGCATTCAAGTCAATGGCTATATTTGGTAAAGTATTATTTTTGAAATAATTTCATTTTAAAGACTTATACCTGGGTTGAAATATGGACCTGTTCAAAAATAACTTTGTAATATTAGGTTATTTGCTTACCCTTTTGATGCTATTTCTTCTTCTGGTAAGTGGTCATATTAGATTATCATATAACCTAGAAAGTTAATAGATATAAAACACTGGATTTTATGTATTTTTCAAGTAGAAATGACATCTGAAAGTTTAAGGATGAAATATTTAAGACTATGTATATCTCTCTGGCTTTTTCTACTCTGCCATTGCTATATGAAAACCAAGTGTTTCAGAGGCAAAGCTACACAACAAAAATGCCTCATGTCTCTGACTTTTTTCTGGTTTGATGATTTTCAGGGATTATTGAATACTTAAACTATTTTATTTTTGGACCACTTGATATCCAGTGTACTTCACTAGTGTATATACCCAGACAGATACACAGCTCTCATTTTGCTGACTGGTTACACAAGAAAATATTACTACATACTCCTAAAATTTAGTGTTTTCAAAATAAAATTTTCTCCTCTAAAGCCTATTGAAATGACTGCTGATAGCAGCCAATCTGTTAGCTTTCTAGTTCAGCAAGAACAAGTTATTTCCTATATATATATATTTTTTTCTCATTGTTCTGCTCACTCATTCATTTAAAATTCCACATGCTGTCTACAATCCAAAAGCTCTCTCTTTCTTGAATATTTGGTCACATATATTCTTACTGCTTTTCCAAATACTCAAATTATCTTTTTTTTGTAAGGTACAGAAGTTTCATGAGTAGAAAATGCATTTCATTTTTTTCCTTTCTAGGATCCAGTAATATTTTCTGTTTTGTGGTTATGCATTTCTTTATACAAATGTTAAGATAGTTTTCATACTTCTCTACCATGATGTTTTTTGCACTTAATTTTGACATGCATTGAGAACATTCTGCAGCATTCTGTAGAATGCTCTCTATAGAGTGACTGTAAACTACTCCATTTATTTGAATGTGAAATGCTTTTACATATATATCTTCCACTGATCAATATTTATGTGTTCAATATTCTGCCAGTATAAAGAATGATTTTGAAAACTATTTTGTATATTTTTCTCTCTCTATCAACATTTGTCTATAACTTCTAACTACAATGAAATACTGAAATTCTCAAACACTTTTTGTGAGAGCAACATAAATGATTTACATGTCTATACCACACTGCTTCTCAGCCTTTTGGCTAAGAACAAGTATACATTTCCATCACATTCTGTGCTATAACTGCATGTTTTGGCATATGAAACACTCGCTCTCACTGGAATACTGCCCATCACTTTTTGCCTAGAGAATTCTTATTCACCTGTTCCTTTGCACCTGTTCTTATTGTAGCCAGCAACTAGAATCTAGTATTTAAATGATTCTCGGACATTTTTTGTTTAACTTTTAAAACAAATTTAACAATTTTTTCTGACTTGTATTCTAACAGTCTTCCCACTTATTTTTCCGCTAAGAACTAGATATAAAGGGGTATTCTCTTGTAACTAGGAGATACATAGTAGAAATTTTGCAATTTGATCAGTATAGATATCCCATATTTGTTTATTTAACACTCATATAGAATTTATTTTGCTTTGGTTTTATACTTTGTTTTATGTAATTCATGGTGTAACTGACAAATGCTATTTTTATTTACTTCTGTGACTTCACAGGAGTTGCGTATTTTGTATTGAATTCATCCTTCACTCTATCATATGGCAAGAAGCTTTCAGCGTTTCATATGTATTCATTAATTTATTCATTAATTCAACAAACTTTTAATTAACACCTTCTTGCATCAGGCTCTGTTCTAGATGCTGAGGGAAAAAAAATCCTTATCATTGCATTTTAATAGGAAGAGACAAATAAGCATGTAGACTAAATTTACATGGAGATAATGCATAGGGAGAAAATAATGAAGATAAAGGATTAGAAAGTGGAAGAAGGAGAGACTATAATTTTTAGAATTATCAGGAGTATTTTCATGTACTCTCTGAGTAGGTGACAGCTGAGCAGAGACCAAATGTGGGGAATGACTATGTGACTGTATGAAGAAGGCTCTTTCCAGGCATTGGAAAACAAATGTAAAGCCTTAAAAAGAACATGTTTGATGGGTTTTCCTAAACTGAAAGAATATTTGTGTAGCTGGAGTTAGCTGAGTGAATGTTTGATAATTGAAGAAGGTTGAATAGGCATTGTTAGTTCCTGTAGAACTGGAGTTTTCCTAAAGAATCACTGCTAGGATTTGAGCAGGGGAATGACATAATGAAATTTATATTTTAAACTATTTTTTTTCTGCTATGGGGAGTTTGCAGGAAAAAACAGGAGGTTGAAGAATAGGAGTCTTATATACTAGGCTATTGTCACTATCCTCTGGAGAACTCTGATGAATAATATACTCATATTTTATTATCAGTACTCTGATTTTCCTTCTGAGGAGGACACGTATGATTGCCATTAGAGTATGAAAAAAATCAGATGTGTTATTGTGAAGTTCTAGTAGTGAATTTGATGTAGTATATGCACATATATCTATTCTGAATGATGAACAATACAATAATGACCCAATACAATATTACTCCAATAAGAAATGTGGGGTCCCCAGCTCCTTGTTCTCAGAGATATTGTCTTGGTGCTCAGTGTTCCTGCTGGTAAAGCTAAAATGTCAAGTCGGACAGGGGACTTCTGACTAGGGTTAAAGTCCTGGTGCATGGAACATGCTAAGAACCAGTATCTACTGTAAACAGCAGATAGAGTTTATGGCCAGATTAGCATAACCAGCTAGACTGCTTAAATGGAAAGTTAAGTGAAAACAGGAACTAGAGATAGGATGCTTTGACCAGCAGGAACAATGGAGTTTCTCCTCCCCCCAGATAACAACCCCTTTCACTCTCCTTTTGCTTGCACCAGATTATTATACATCCTCAATAAACATCCCAACCAAGTACATTCATCCATTTGTCCACCTTCTCAGAACCTGATGCGCAATAATGGTGAGACTGACCTTGGGAAGGAGCTGCAGTTCTTGATGTGGAAATCCCTCTATGGTTTCACATCAGGAGGTGTGAGCCCCTCTCCCACTCTCCCTCTCTGGACTTTGAATTGTCTTTCCACCATACTGTACCACTCCCAACTCTGATGCTTCATGAAGTGACAGAGAAATATATAAAATATAGACAGCAATACAATTTTCTTGTCTATGATGTGTTTTAGAGTTCTCAATAATTAATGCTACTTGTACAAAAATTTTAGTAAAGTGTAATTTCATATATTTTTAATTTGTGTAGGTAGAAGTTTCAACACCCAAAAAAGGAGAATATGCAACATCAGGAGATATGCTCTTGTGTGAAGGGACATTCAATGAAGAAACTTCCGCCCAGTCCTTTCAGGAAGCTTTAAATCAGTGGAGAAATGGACATCATGATAACAAGAAACATAATTTACCTGCTGTAAAAACAGGTAACATTATTTCATAAAATTAATTTTGTAAAGTTGACTTTTTTGTCCCCATTCTCTGTGAATATAATTGCAATGTTCAAAAATCATAAACATTTGTAAAGCAGTTTGATATAACTTTTTAAAGGTCTCTCCACTGTATGACCATTTATTTGAAGTTTTATATTTATAGAACCCTGAATTTGAAATTTGTGATATTTGTGTTTGTTTATTGGGTAAATTCAGGTTATCATGTAAATGGAAATTTGAATTATTTCAGTTCTGCATCTCCTAGAAGGAGATATTTCTTATAATTATTATTCCCAATGTTGTACTGTATTACACATATGAATGAAAGCATATGGTGTTTATCTTACTCCTCCTGGGTTACTTGCTTAGCATATTCCACTAAAACTGCACCCATGTTTTTGCAATGCTAAGCAATTTTTTTTCAACAGCTGCATAATATTCCTTATGCATCCTGCATCTCCTCATCCATGTACCTGTTCTTGTGCACGGAGACTCTATAATTTGTCTTGTGTATACAGGGCTTCAGTGAATATAGGCACACATAATCCCTTCAAATTAGTGCTTTGTATTCTTCAGGTAGATTCCTAGGAGCGAGATTCCTAAATTATATGGTAGATCTATTTTGAAAAATTTGATAAACTGTTCTACTGTTTCCCATAGGAGAAACTGGATTAGTCTACATCCAATAGTTTACAAATGAAATTTCCTTAACTTTCCAATGGATACTTGCTAGCAATTTCTGTTTTAAACCTTTTGATTGGGGACATTCTCAAATTTATGAGACAGTATCTCTTTGTGGGTTTTGATTTCTGTTTCCCTGATAATAAGTGATGATGAATAATTTTTCATGTGACTATTGGCCATCTGAATATGTCCTATAAGATTTTATGCCAATTATTTTTTGTCCCATTGGGCTATTTAATTTTCTTATTGTTGAGTTTAGTGAGTTGTTAATATTTGTTAATTTTATTTATTTTTTTCAATGAGCCAGACTTTGGTTTCATTAATATTTGGGATTGTTTCTTCTATTATTTCATTTGTTTTTGCTCTTTTATTTACTTCCTACTGCTGGGTTTTAGATATTTTTTCTTCTTTTTCTGGTTCCTCAAGCTGAGGTGCAAAGTTGTTTATTTGGGCTTTCTCCTGTTTCTTGATGTGGTCCATACTGCTATATATTTTCTTTTTATTACTGTTTTTGTTGTGTCCCATACTTTCTGAAAGGTGGTGTTTTTATTGTCATTTATGTCAAGGTTTGTGTGTGTGCGTGTGCCCTTTGATTTTCTCATTAACCCAGTAGCCTTTAATTAGTGTGTTGTCCATGTGCACATATTAGTCGATTTCCCTCCTTTTTATTGTTGATTTCTAGTTTGATTCCTTTATTGTCCAAGAAGGTAATTGCTATGATATCAGTCTTCTTTAATTTTTTGACATTTCTCTTGTGTCCCAATATGTGGTCAGTGCTTGAGAATTTCCATTGTGTACTTTTAAAAAATGCATTTTGTGTTTATTGGCCGCAGGTTCTTATATACATCTACTAGGTACACTAGTCTAACTCTCTACTTAAAGCTGTTATGTCTCCATTATTTTTTTTTTCCTTGTTTATTTATCCATTATTGAGTGTGGGGGTGTTAAAGTCTTCTACCACAAGTGTGTTTCTTCCAATTTTTTTTTTCCTTCTGAGTTGCTCATAGTTTCCTTATGAATTTGGTACTTCTTTCTTTGTGATTATATGTTGTTGAGTGTATGCTCCTGATCTATTAATTCCCATATTCATAATGTAGTCTCTACTCTTGTCTCTCATTACCATTTTCAAATACAAATTTATTTTGTCTGATATAAGTATGGCTTTACCTGCCTTCTTTCATGTCTTATTATCTTGTAGAATAGTTTTGAAGCCCTTTACTTTGAGTTTTTGATTCCATGAAATTCAGGTATATCTCCTGAAGACCACAGAACATTGTGTTCTATTTCTTAATCCAATCACATATTTAGAAGGATCATTGATATATGAAAGTCTGTTGCCATCATGTTTTTTTTTAGATTTTTTTGCCCATTTTTAAAGTTTTGTGTGTTACATTATTATTTTTTAATATATATGTATATTTTGCATCATTTTTCATTTGTGTATAATGTGTGTTTGAATGCTCTTCTTTAGGTGGATTCCCCATAAAATTACTACCACCATTTCACTCATGAACCATCATAATAGTCCCCTGTGTTCTTCTCTCCACTGTTTTGGTTCCTCAACCTCCTCCTCCCTTGCAGAATGTTTATGAGTTTTAGTTTCCTGGTAATTTATTTTTTTTTTGTATTTTTTTGTTATTGTTTTTTTTTTTCTTACTCCTTTATTTCAATATTACTTGGAGGGAGGGTTTAGATTTGCAAAGTTCTTCCGTTTTTCTTTGTCTGAGATGGCATTTATCTTCCCTCATATCTAAAGGAGAGCCTTTACAGCATGTAATATATTTGCTTGAAAGTTTCTCTCCTTATATTTTAAAATCATCCTCTTCATTAGCTATTTTTCAGAGTTTCTTCTGAGAAGTCCCATGTATACCTAATCTAGTTTCATTTGTAGATTATCTGACTCTTCCCCCTTCCAATTTCAGTATTGTTTCTTTGTCTGGAATTCTTGAGTTTTCATCACTATAAGTCTTGCTGTTGGTCTCATATTACTTACATACACTTATTTGTTTATATTACCATAAAATATTAATTAAAGGGTGCTAGAATTTGAATTTACTATATTTTTTTCACTTAATAATTAATTCTTTTTATATATCAACATATACTATTTTGATTTCTTCAACTATTAGTAATATAAAAATCACTTTTAGTGCAGAGATCATAAAGAAACAATGGACGAGATTTAATTTTTGGTTTGTAGTTTGTTGATTCTTAACCTATTAATTGCATTATTTTCTATTTCTACTAATGAATGAAATCATCATATACAGCTCAAATTCATGTGACAATGATAACAGTATATCTTTATTCTCATTCCAGACCTACATTAATTCTCTTGCTTTATACAATTATGGAAGGGAAAGGACCATGGTTGTCTTGCAATTGCATAGAAAATAGTGCTTGCCCTTTAGATAGATGGCATGATGATATGAAATTTTGGCAAATAGATGTGATTGGTATAGATGATTATAGCAGACTCTTTCTATCTTGGAGGGGCAGTAAGTAATCCTCATGGAAAAAAATAGACATTTTAGATGAAGATTGCCTTGACCTGCCTGCAGTATGTCAGTTAGTAGCCTTATTTACCATGTGGTGATACAAACTCAAACAATGTTCTCTCAGATAAGCACATTTTACAATCAAAGAGGTATATCTATAAAACTCATTGATCTTACCCTGTTTAGCACTATCCAGAAGCAATTGGCTTTATAGTTGAATGGGATGGCCTGTTGAAGCTTCATTATGCATTTAGCTGAGAAACATCTTATGAGGATAAAGTGCCTTTCTTACAAGGTCTGGTATGTTGTATGGGATTCCACTTCTACTTCCATTGAACCGGAATCTGATAACTAATTCACAATTTAGGGCATGTTAGAAAATAATCTATATTCAATATAAATTTTTAATATGGGTCAACTATACTTGAAAGAAGTATTTTTTGAAAGAAGTGTCAAATAATAAGTAACTTGTTATTACATAGAGAAGAGAAGGTAGACTTCATCTGGAAAATATTGCTTTGCTTATTAAATTTTCTGTGTCCATTAATAATGTTTACTCAGGACCCTCTTGGGTGGCCCAGTGGGTTAGGGTTAAACTGCAACACTAGGAAGCTAGCTGCTGCTGTTTCCGCATGAGTTCTATCCCCAGCCAGGGAGGCGACACACATGGCACAGCAGACCTCTCCTGTCTTCCCCGCTGCTCCCCTCAGCAGTGTATTTTAAGCAATCTGCCTGTTCCCCACTCTGTCTCTGGTGAATACTCTCACTGCCCCCTGTACCTCAGGCCTCTACCCCAGTTCTCTATGTATAAATAAATAAATCTTAAAAAAAATACTTTACTCAAACAATGTGGTAACCCAATGGAAAATAAGGCTTCTATGACATTTAATACTTCGGGAATGAATATTTGATTCATTATACCAAGTAATAAAGGTGTTGGCAGACGGTAAGGTGAATGTGGAACAGATAGTGAAAAAGGAATCTATGTTGAACAAATCAACCTAGATTTAAAAACCAAACAAAAAAGATAGACAATAGTAGCAACACAATTTTTTGATGTTGAGAAATATTTTTCTTTATTGTTTTCCTGTTACTTATATGAGATTTGTTATTCATATCTAACATTTAAATTTAGAGACGCTTCAATTGGGAGAATTCCTAACTTGCCAACTAAAATCTCTACTGTGGCTATAGAACTTTGTGTTGTCCTTGTGTTAAGACATGAGTGGCGTGTGTGTGTGTGTGTGTGTGTGAGAGAGAGAGAGAGAGAGAGACTATTTAGATGCAGAAGAAGTAACTCTTTCCAGATCCATTACCTTCCTTTTCTTCCCTACTATGTGTCACAAGGGTAAAATTTTAGAGATTGCAGTATCTAGGGTTTGTCAGTTGAAGACTCTAACAGTACATTTTAGTATGAGACAAAGATATGGAGTTATTTACTCTTATTTACTCCCCATCTGAATTTTTTTTTTAAGATTTATTTATTGTGCATACAGAACTGGGGTACAGGCCAGAGGCCAGAGGTGTAGGAGCAGTGAGAGAATTCACTGGAGACAAAGCAGGGAGCAGAACAAGCAGATTGTCAAAGTACACTGCTGAGGGGAGCAGCACATGGGTCACGAGAGGTCTGCCAAGCCATGTGGATCACCTCTGCGGCAGGTGGGGATCGAAGTCATGCAGAAGTGGCTTTAGCTTCTTAAGGTGCTGTGCTTTAACCCACTGCGCCACCAGGGAGGGCCATGAATTTTTAGCATAGATCTATTTTGGACCTATGAGCAATCTTTAGATAACCTCTCCTCCACAGCCTTTGCTTTCAGTGACTTCTTACAGCATTCTCTTATTTTATTTTGTTTTGTAAGAGCTTTCCACTATTTTTAGTGTCTTTTTTATCCTAATATCACTTGGTCCCTTATGCCTAATAAATTAGTCCCTTCATTCAACCTTCATCATGTTAACCTTGGCATAGCCATTTTCCTGTCAGGATCTTGACTGATACGGATGATCAGGAAAACAAAAACAAAAAACAGTAACCAATATCAAGTTCTGGTCTAGAAAATGGGCTGGAAAATGGAAATATATAATAATCATGGAGGGAGCTTATGTGTTAATGTAACTAAAATTAGATATGGGCATTGTAGCATGACAGGCTAGAGAGAAACTGGGTTTAGTGACTTGGAAAAATAAGTCTGTGAAGAAAAAGAGTGACATAGATATAGGAAGAAAGTGGCTCTTCACACCAATGTTTTAAAGAAAGAAATGAGGTTATCAGTGTTGTTACTCTGGAGAAACCATAAAGAAGAGTACTTCTACTGAATTAACAGGTGGCATTTTCCCCCCATAGAATTATTCATATGACTGTGTGTATGTGTGTATTAATTATATATATATACTCGTAATTTTTTTTATTTTCATAGGATATTAAAGAGATAAAACACATTTATAAATATCTTATGGGAAAAACAAAATATCTATTACCTGTAAGAGATTATCATTAACCTGAACTTTTTAAAAATATTCTTGCACATTATATAAATGGAAAGCTAGTATGGGTATTATTTTGCAATATGTATATTTCACTGAATACTATTATTGATATCATTGTTTATTGTGATTTACCCACGAAAATAAACAGGATTCTATTTCTTTTATTTTCACTGTCTAATAATCATCTGTTAAACGAACATTACCTATTTAAATATTGATGTTTATTTGGGTATTTTCCCATGTTTTTCATTATAAGCAACAATGTTAATATTCTTGCATATGTCTTAAGGTACAAATGTTCACACATTGCTAGGATGGCTATTCCTGTGAATGGAATAAAAAAATCATAAAATGTATATATTTTTATCTATACTAGGTGAAGTTGAGCTATTTATGAAAGTATTTGTATCAGTTTACATTCTCATCTGCAATATATAAAAACTTTGCTTCTCATTATCATGAACATATAAATTGTCACATTGTTGTTATTTTGCTGTTCTGATAAGGAGGAAGTAATATGCTTATTTTTGTACTTAATACAAATATCACAGTTCTTTTCATGTTCTAGCTCATTTAACTTAGAATGTGCTTTGAATTTTCATGTTTTCTAGTAATTTATGCTATTGATTTTTAAATAATTTTATTTTAGTCCATTAAATGCCCTTTAGTGTGGAAAACAGCTAATTATAGTGGCCTAGAAGATTCTATGTACTCTGAACTTTATTATCTCTGTAATCTCCTGTTACTTCCTGCTTGATTTGTCCTGTTTCAACCACAGAACAAGTTTATATTCTGGCATATTTTCACCTTTAGTATTTTGTATTGCCTATTAAGGAAGATGCCCACCATCCTATCCTATGAGCAATGGGGCATCTCAAAAATTTTCTCACAGAAATTGAGAGTGAACCTGATGAATGAAACAAAATCTACATTAAATAGTTTATGTTGCATTTTTCAGAAGCCATATGCCTGATAAATATATGTTGTTTTTTTTCTAAACAGATGATCCTGCTAAATGTACTACATAAATAAAGATAAATAGCTACGAATCATTAATCTTTTTTTTTTGCAATAAAGTTCAGTAACACTCATTATCAAATAAACCCAATCATTTTAACATTTCTATTTTTTTTTTAGACTGTGACATTAATGATGGGAAAAGAATGAATCATAAGCAATCTAGTTGAATCCTTCCTCCTCATTATCCTTCTAGTTGTGAATATTATCTTTCAAGCACAGTAGATTTTCTCTCTGATCTAGAGAGGCAAACAAGAAAAAAGAAAATTTGATTATTTTCTATAACCTACCCTTTAAGGATTATGTGTGTGTTCATTCATTCATTCACTCACTCATTCATCTTTGCAGTGGGATGGGAATCTCATGATGGCAGGGTTTCCTTTACTCCATGACACACTTGTTAATGACCTTAACTGTTATGCCTCCGATTTTAGTGGATTCTAGTGCTGTTTCTTAGAGCTTCACTTTTTTTTTTTCCCTACACTGCTTTACCCTTTTGGAAGAAGAGTGGAGTGACTTGCACTCTTTCACTTTATTTTTATTGCTGGTCTTTGGCTGTTTCCAGAGGCTAATCACAATGTAATATTGGGCATATATTCTACTTTTAGAGTGCATGAAACTTTTTTCTGTATTTCTTACTACTCTCTCTTTTTTTTATTTTCTCCCTCTTTCAACACACCCTCTCCACCTCTGTGGTAATCAGTGAAGAAAATAGGGTCATCTGGAAGGTACAGAGTATAGTAATCCTGGATTTATGCTGCTTTTTTTCCCCCCTAGTAATTAAATCTCCATCATTTTTAAATAATGCTGAATAGTGGTTTTACTTTAGTAGTACAAGTACTACTTTAGTAGTACAAGTACTATCTTAAAAATATAGATGTGAATTATCATGCAGATATAAATTTATGAGGACATTTATCAGTACCATTCCACTTATTTGTTTTCTCTATGATGTTTAAATATTACTGTCAATAGCCTTTATATATGTATTTATAAAATAAACCTATATTTATAGAATATATAATTTGCCGGTGTGTAATCATTTTTATCACTCTAAAGTTGCTTTAAATTTTTTTTGAAAGCTAGAAAATCGTTTCATCGTAAGGGCTTATTGGAGAAATATATGTAGTCATTTAATAATTCATCAATACTTAATACTTTGCATTATTCAAAGCTAGATGAATTGATTATATAGATGAATACCAAACACATTTATCTCAGAAATGTGCAGTTCTGCATGTGAAGAGAAGATACTGTAATTTATATTTTAGGTTTCATTAATTATTCACACTTTATTTACTTTTACAGGCTCACTAGAAGAATGTGAAGTACAAACTAATCTGAAAATTTGGAGAGAGCCACTTCAGATTGAATTTAAAGAAGACAGTCTATCTTATATGGAAAAATTATGGCTTAAAAAGCACCGAAGGTATTTTTAGCATCTGTGAATAATTATTAATGAAGATAAAAGCTATTAATGCCCCTTGTCTGTGTGACATATTTTTGTAGCATTGTTTGGGGGCTTCAATTTACATAAATGATTATAAAGCAACTTAAGTCTCTGTGACATTTCAACTGTTCTAATAAGAATTTTCAATCTATTTATGTATATGATGCATCATTGAGAATTTGTATTGAGAAATGGGTATGTATATGTGAAAAAGATATAAGTATAGGTCATAATTTAAGGATAAGTACGAAAATAATAAATCACAATTACTTTGAAAACATTTGTTTTTTATTATATTACCTTAAACATTTGTTGCTTTGATTTTCAGAATCTAAAGTTGTTAAAACCTTTAATGGTATAGTCTTATTAATATTTTATTTGAATAATATATCATTACATATATGATTTCATAAATCAGATAAACTATTTCATAAATCAGAGAACTACTAAATATTAAAGGACTTTCTGTCACTTATTAAAAATCACTCATATATTTAGTATCATACAAGAATCATATTAGGAGATACATTCATTAACCATCACTAGTTTTCACCATATACCACTGAATCTCTAGAGGATACTATAAAGTGATTACCTTTTAAGGAGATCTGTCAGTGTGATGGGGAAGTTGAGATACTATGTTGCTGAATTTCTAACATGTCAGGTGATATTGGTATGGAGAATGCCCCCCTTTGAACCACATTTTGAGGATTAAAATGTGAGAGAAGCTGAGAGAATGATCATCAAGTCCTTGCTTTATTTTCAGTCATACAAGATCTGCTGAGCTGGCAGACCATCTTTGGAGAATTCTCCAACCATTCCTAATGCACTGTAATTTGTTTCTGCCTGATTTCTAAGCTCCCCTCCCCCCCAAAAAAAATCTGCCCAACAAGTCAATACAGTGAAATTAAATTTTCCCTCCCCATGCCATAATTTCAGAATTTTGTAATTAGTCATCATGTTTCCATCAAAGTTTCTCTTTGATAGGATGATGTATCTTGGTTCACTCCTTTTCAACTAATGTTCATAGGAAAAGTTGTTTTAATTTTGAGATAAGATTTTAAATATAATACAAAACCCTCCATATGTCATTCATTTGAAATACCTTTAGGGTAGCATCTTATATAGTCATAGCGCATTTATCAAATCTAAGAAATTAACAGTGGCAGCTCTTCCTGATAGCGAACTGGCTAATATGCAGCACTACGAAGCTAGCTGCAGCCACTGAAGCACAAGTTCGATGCCCAGCCAGGACACTGACCCACATGACTCGGTAGACCTCTCCTGTCTTGTCCAGTGCTCCCCTCAGCAGTGTGCTTCCTTCTGCTCCTCCCCACTCTGTCTCTGCTGAATCCTATCACTGCCCCTGCATCTCTGGCCTGTACTCCAGCTCTTTATGCATATATTTTTTTAAAGAAATTAACAGTGATACAGCTTTTTGACTTTATTTAGATTTCACCAACTTGTTCACTAAGATTTCTTTTCTGCTCTACGATCCTACCCAAGATCTCACATTTCATTATTTTTTGGGGGGAAGAAGGGGAGTGAGGTTAGGGTATACTTCCTTATCCATTACAATTATTCAGTTTATCCTTGTCTTTTATCACCTTGAGCTTTTTTGAGAATATTTGCCAGGCATTTAATATAATGTACTCCGCTTGAATCTATGGATGTTTTTCCATAATAATTGAGAATTATATGTTTTGTGGAAGAATATCATAGAAAGGGTGTGTCCTTTTCATAGTCTTATATCTCAGAGACATGTCAGTATACCTCATTACCAGAATAGTAACTTTTTTCAATTAATTAATTTGCTATTAACTAATATTTAACCGAGTTAATACTAGGGCATTACCCTACTGTATCACCACCATAGTGCACCCACTACCAACTAACTTATCTTTCACCACTGTAGACCATTGTTTTTCACCCTTCTCCTACCACTTGTTGCTTCTGTAGGGTTAGTTCTGTAGGATTAGTTTTAAAACTTGTCTTTATCTGATTACTTAATTTATTTTCCACATATTAGTCATACTATCTGCTATTTAGCTTTCTTTGTGACTTATCAGACATTCTCCACAGATATGAGATGGTATGTCTAATGTATTCTTTGGAGAATTACCTGCTTAGTTCTTTTGCCCAATTTTATGATTCAGATACTTGTTTTTTTCTTTTTCTTTTTTTTTAGTTTGATTTCTTTACATACCTTTGATATCAGTAGTTTGTCAGATATATGGTGTGTAGATATTGTCCCCCATTCAGTGAGGTATATTTTCATTTTAGCTATAGTTTCTTTCACAGTACAGAATAATTTTTTTTTTTTTGAGGTAGTCCCAGCTATTTGTCTCTTTCATTCTCCTTGCTTTAGGGAATGAATCCAAAAGCCATCACTGAAGCTTATGCCATGCACTGTTTTTCTTACATTTTCTTTTATGTATTGTATGGTTTCAGGTTTTTCATACAAATGTTTGATCCATTTAGTGTTGATGTTGGCATACAATGTGAGATTGTGGGCTGATTTCTGTCTTTTGCATGCAGCTGTCAGATTTCCAAACACAATTTATTGAAGTGACTGTCCTTGTTCTAGTGTATGCTATGGCTCTTTGTCACAGATTAATACTCACATATGTGGGTTTATATCTGGACTCTGAATTCCATATCACCGTTCTGTATGTGTATATATATATTTCCAGTATGAGGCTGTTTTATTTATTGTGGCTTTTGATACAGCCATACTCTTTTTTTTCTGTCATGATTGCTTTAGCTAATTTGTTGTCTTTTGTGATTCTATTGAAACTCAATAATAACTCTATTTCTTTGAAATATGCCACTGCTATTTTTATTGGAATTGCTTTTAATCAGTATATTGCTTTGAATAGAATGGCTATCTTGGAAATATTGGTTGTTCTATCCATGAGCAGGGGATATTGTTTTCCATTCCTTGTGTTTTGTTTTACTTTCCACAAAAATTATTTTATTTTTGATATGGCAATTTTACCTATGTTAAATATACTCTGAGTTACTTTTTTTTTTTTTTTTTTTTGGTGTAATTATACATGTGATCACTTTCAAATTTCTTCTATTTATTTTTTTTTATGTGGGAAAGAAACTGGTTTTTATGTATTTATTTTATAACCTGTCATTTGTCATTTTGCTAAACTAATTGTTTCAATTAGTTTTTTTTGTGTACTCTTGAGGTTGATCTATCTATGAAACCATGCCATCTGTTAATAATGATAACTTTATTTCTTATAACACAATTTAGCTCTTTTTATATCTTTCTCTCACCTAATTGCTCTCACTAAGACTTCCAGTACTATATTGAAAAACAGTGGTGAGAGTGGGTATCCTTATCTGTTTATATATTTTAATGGGAAGACTTTCATTTTTCACCATTAAGAATTATGTTAGTTGTGGGTTTGTAATAAATAACTTTTATCATGTTAAGATATGTCCCTTTTATCCTGAAATTTTCAAGGGCCTTCATCATAAGTGGTTGTTAAATTTTATCAAATCCAAATGTGTATTTATTGATATGATTGCATGATTTTTATTTTTCTTTTTTGTAGATAAATTGAATTACATTAATTGATTTTGAGATATTAAGCCATCCTTGTGTCTCTAGAATAAGTCTCATTTGGTCCTGGTGTATATAATTCATTGAATGTATTGTTGGATTCAGTTTGCTAAGATTTTATTGAGCATTTTTATATTTGTGTTGATAAGGATGATTGGTCTGTAGTTTTCTTTTTGTGTGTGTGTGCGGTGTCTTTGATTTTGATATTAGTGTAATTTTGACTTCATAAAATGTATTTCGTATTAGTCCTTTTTAAAATTTTGGCAGAATTTGTGCAAATTAGGCATTTGTCCTCTGATGACTTGGTTACTTGTGAAACCATCTCGTCCTGGATGCTTGTACTTGTGAAAGTTTTGAATACTATTTCAATCTTGCTTGTTATTGGTGTGTTCAGGGTTTGTATTTCTTAACCTATTCAGTCTCAGTTGACTGTATAATTCTAAGAATTTGTCTGTCTCTTCTACGCTATTGAATTTGTCATTGTAGAAATGTTCATAGTAGTGCTTAATTATCCTATGAATTTCTTCAGCATCTGTTATGATTTCTCATCTTTTGTTTTTGATTATATTTATTTCACACGTTGCCCATGTTTCCTTGGTGAGTCTTGCTAGAAGTCTCCATACCCCCCCTTTTATTTTCTTCAAAGAACCAGCTTGGATCTCATTCACCTTTGGGCTATCTATTTAATTAACTATTTTGTTTACTTCTGATTTGATTTTTATTATATCTGTTTTCTACTGGTAGGTGGGTTTGTTTGCTTTTGTTTTTCTAATTCCTCTAGTCTTGAGAGAGTTGTTTATTTGAGCTCTTATGTGGTTCTTGATGTGATTGCTTTATGTATCTCTTTTGGTGCTTGTTTTGCTACACCCTATAAATTGTGAATTTTTTTTTGTGCTCATTTTCATTTGTCTTGAGATATATTTTGATTTCCTTATTAATTCAGTGTTATTTCAGTATTACTATTCAGAGTCCATATATTAGTTGGTCTCCTCCCTGCTTCCTTTTGATAGTTGATTATTAGTTTGATGCCTTTATGGTCTCGGATATTGGGTATGATTTCAATCTTTGTGAAAACATTGATATTTTTTTTTTTGTGCACCAGAATGTGTTTCAACTTGGAGAATATCCCATTTGTCATTTGTGCTTGAGAAAAATGTGTATTCTGCTTTTTCGTGTGCCATATCCTGTGTATGTATGAGATCAAGAAGTCTACTTCTTTACTTAAAGCTATCATATCCCTATTTTTTTGCCTAGTTGATCTGTCCATTTGTGAGAGTGGGGGATTGAAATTTCCTAACAAAAATTTGTTTTTTCCAGTGTTTGCTTTCAGAGTTGATAGTAGTTGTCTAATATATTTTGTTGTACCTTTATTTGGTGCACAAACATTGATGAGTTTTTATGT